CGATGGTAGATCATGGGGGGGGGGGCAATATATATATATATATATGTATATATACATATATATATATATATGTGTGTGTGTGTGTGAGCCGTCCTAGGTCATGGGCTAAGGGAAGCCACTCTCAAACGTCATGTGCAATTGCTTGTTGCTTGAATTTCTCCATAAGCAGGAGAGTGCGCCATAACTGTGAGACACCACGTCATGGGATACCGAGTCTATAGTCTGCAAGGTGATCCAGCGGCCTCGCTGTATATGGTTATCCCCGCTGTTGCTACCTTCACCAAACATTTTTTCCGGGATCACGTCAGTGCTTGCACATGGACATCCAGCTTGCCGAGAGTTTGCACATGCTTTCATAAACGGTTGCAGCAGTCTGTCCCGCCTTTACACACATGCAGCCAGGTACTTCGCGAAGCAAGCCAACAGTACCTAAAACCAACCATGAGTGCGACCGTGCTTTGAGACAGCGTGTCTGTGTGTGTAATATCTAAGGTGTGAATGTCTGTGTGTGTGTGCGCATTTCCAATTGGATTCATCATTCGGGTGATGGTGCTGCAAGTTTCTTGTCCTCAACTTGGGCCGCTAGGATGCAAAGCTGAAAAGTCAGAAGACAGAGCACATGCAGAGTCAAGCCCACCAGCATGTCGGCAGCCGGCAGCTGAGATGCTTAGTATTGCTTAGTGCTTCGTCTTCCGCATTTGAAAAGCTCTAGGAAGACTACTTGTATACTGTCTCGCTAAGGCAGCTTCCAGGCGGCCAATGCCTTGCAATTCCTGAGGCAGGACGACGTCACACAAAACGAATCCGTGCCGTATTCCCTTTGGCCAGGCGCGCGCCCTCCTCCCCGGAGAGCCGAGGCCCCAAGGAGAGTCCTCCAGGACTCCGAAAGTCGGTCGGAATGCTTCTCGGAACCCTTAGGTCGGAAGCCCCGTGGCGTTCGCTTACAGTACGGTGACACGCAGGAGTGGTCCAAGATCCCAGAGAACCGGTTTGATCGGTTGCGGCATGCGAGTTCGTAGAACGCCCCGACATCCTAGGTACACTCCTGATGCAAGCATGGGCTATGGCTATGGCATGGGAGGTTGCCTGGTAAGATCAGTTCCAATGGTGCAGCGATGTCGTGGCTCTACAGCTTGCCGATATTGGGGGGCTTGACAGTATCCGACCCTAGCAAGATGTTTCTCCGTCGCTTGTGCGCAGACGGTACTCCAGCGACTCCAGCTCCCGGAGGGTTCAGCAGGCACAGTGACACATCTGTCAGCCTATCACCTTCTTCTCATTTCTTTGCTGCCTCAGTCTCTGTTGAATTGGGCGCAAGGGTAGTTAGACCGGGTGTTCTCGGCAAGTCTCAAGCCTCGCAGGCAGGGAAGCTTCCAGATGGGCCAAACCTTTACAGGCAGGGACTCTCTCCGTAAGGAGCGATGGACTCTTCGCTGAAAGCTTGCGACTTGGCAGATGGCTCTGCCGCGAGCCCCGGCGGTCCTCGGCCGCTTGTCCTGCAGAGTCGCGTTGGCAGCGCCAGGGCGACGCTTTCGGGGGTTCTGCGGCATCGCGGAGCGTACTCGTGCTCTCGGAGTGTGTGTGCCTCTCCCGTGAGGCTCCTGACGTCCCAGGGCTCGATGACCTTCTCCGGAGGCCTCATCTTTTGGGCTTTGCTTTGCCGAGCCTTCAATGCGCCAGATGCATCGCCGCAGCGGTCTCTGACGCAGAGCTTCAGCAGGATCAGAGCTCAAAACGGCTGCGACCTAAAAGGGGCTGGAGCTTCGCGGAGTGTTTCGCAGGCAGGGTACGGCCAGTATGGCTGGTTTGGGCATGCGCTCTTCAGGCCGGCTCTGACGCTGATGCTTGCAAGTGCCTTGCAGTGAATCAGCAGGGAGTCCCATGATGGGCAACCCCATGATGGGCAGCCCCATGGTGGGCAGCCCCACAATGGGCGGCAACTCGAGGCCATTGAGTCTGTGAGCCGCAGAGAGTCGCAGAGAGCCGGACGGGCCCAAAACAGGCAAGGCACGCCTCCGCTGGTCCACGCCCTCGGAATGCCGGGATCAGGCTTGGGGCCCAAGACGTCTCATGTACGCTGGGGCAGCATTGTGTGACCCAAGGCGTTGGATTTACTGGCAGGCCAAGAGTCTCAGAACTTCCGGCGGAAGAACATCGAAGCCGAACGCCTTCATAGCTCAGGCCAGGTGCTCTCGTCGCCGCAGGGCCCGCAGGCAGCGCGGGCCCGTCCGGCGGTCTTCCAGGAAGGCACGGCCATAAACCGGCTCTCTTGGCGGCTTCTCGTGCTTTCGGCTTTTCAGGGGGATGGCCAATCCTACAGGCGACTGACCTGCATCGCGGACTGCTGGTGCGCACAGAGACTGCCCGTACCGGAAACAGGCCCGCAGCTCTTCGGACAGAGGTGCCAGCTTCGGTTAGAGAGGAAGAGTGTCCATGTGCGCTCTAGACTCTAGACACAGACTGTATAAGCAGGCAGGGCACACCACCAGGCGCCCCATTCGACTTTTGCAAGGGAGCAAGAGGCGTGGAGGCATCGCTTGGCCCTGGCCAGGCATGCCGAAGGAGTCGCTGGCTGGGCCAAGGCCTTGTGGAATCGGCACTTCAGCGCAGTGCTTTCGAATCCCATGGCCCTGGAGGATGGCGTCTTCGACATCGGGGCTCGTAGGCTCGAGGATGCTTCAAGTCAAGTAGACTCTGACGGAACAGCAGCTTTTCAGGTGACTCTATGGGCGTCGTAAGGTTCGAGGCGGTGCCAGGCATGCACAGCACTCCTTTGGGCCAAGGCAGCTGGACAAGGCAATCCAAGTTCCGGGGATCCAGAACCAATGCACAGGAACTGGGAGCTCGAGCCTCTCCGTGTTTGGCCTTTCAGGTGCATCCCGCCCGATACATTGTAACATGCGCTCTGCGCTTCACAGAGGCCCTGCGAGCCCCACAAGCCCGAGCGACTTGGGAGCGGATGGGGCTGCCATGCCCACAGCTGCAGGCCTGCGCCTCTGCTTCTTCGTAGGTGATGATGCCGACGAAAAGGATGAGCAGGACTATTCGGATGATGATGGTGATGAGGATGGTGACGGCGACCGTAGTGGCCGGAGCGAGGATGGCACCGACGCTTACAGCGATGACAATTGCTGATGCTGCTGATCCTGGTGATGGTCGTCACATTGCATGCTTGTGGCGGTCATTGTTGGGATGTTTGTTGCGGGATGCATGATCCCTCGTAGTTGCCGTAGTGTCACCAAATTGCAACACCAAGACGATACGCAATTGCTTGATCACAGGCAGCGGACCCGGGGCCGGGCCCTTTGTGCAGATCGCGGCAGATGATACTCTTAGTCTTGCCGCCACTGAGACTGGGGGTCAGAATCGTAACGAGAATGACAGCAGTTACGGGCTGTTGCACGAATCCTGACAGTCGGTCACATTGCTGGGAGCAGGGCGTTTGACAACAAGTGCCAATGCACACGAACATTGGCAGGATTACACAACATAAGTTTAGTTTAAATGTAGGGAGTAGGAGTTTAGGGTCAATGGACCCCTTTTTTTCGGGACCTCCTGTGGCCAAAAGGGTATCACCTGCGAGCCAGAACGAACTTCAGTTCTTGTGCGGGCCTTTTCAATATGGGGGAAGGGCCAGCAGTAGTAGTTCTAGCCACATGCAATTCATACATTCGCAACATCAAAACATAGCATGACTGCGGTAGTACCAACACTAGTGGCAGAGCTTCCGATCCAGGCCTCTCCTCTGCGTCTGCCTCCAGGCAGTTTCGATGCTTGCACATCTGCAGACGCGGTTGAACAAAGACCATAGCCCTAAGCCAAAAGCGTAAGAGGTGCAGCAGACGATATTCGAAGTTCGTCTTCAATGGCACTGTCCGCCGACGGCAGGTCTGCTCATAGATGAGTGCAGCGATCGGACACACTCTCCCTGTTCCCTAAGCTCTGATTGTCGCTTCAGAGCAGACGGGGGGACGTTTGTCGCACATCTCCGTGATCGTGTTGCAAGCTCTTCTGTGTCTCCGTGGCTGACAGGCATCCAGCCTTCCTTCATGCCAACTCGGCATCAATGTCGCCAAGCTCCTTTAGGCTCCATCATGTTGGCCTGGCGAAGACCTCAATTTGCACGGGTGCATAAGAGGTCGCTTCGCCACGTTAACATCCTGCCCAGGCTTCGGGCGGTAGCTCTCCAACTGTGCCTCGGCAAGTGAGAAGGAGGCGGACCGCAGGCTCCGTCGGAAACCTGCTTGCTTCAGGATGCTCCGCTTGAGTTGATTCCGCAGGACCCTGCTGCAAGAAGGGCTGGTTACGCGGGTAGTTGCAATGTTTTCGCGAGAGAGGATTACTATGGCCCACGCCAAGCTTCTTCGCCCAGCCGACGAGGTCCATACCACTGGCAGCTTATGAGAAGTTGTCTTGGAGCATGTTGTTGGTATTGCTTTAAGCTGCATGAGCGATTGGCATGCTGTGCACATGCCACTATGCGTAACTTGTGCTACGATGGCAGGTCCCCTGCAGCCTTTGCGACAGAACAGCTCAGCCGCCACATGGCTAAAATAATCATGGCCATGGTCAAGGCGTGCGGGCATTTTGTGTGAGTAAGCCTCGAGCATGGTCAGGCTATGTCAATGCCGCTGACTCCTGGGATAGGAGGAGGCCCGCACAGGGATGCCACTCCAGGGTGCCGAAGACACCGTTTGATTCCAGACCAGAGACTTTTAGATGTCCGATCAAGCCGGAGTTCGATGGCAGGAGACGCCTCCTTGACACTTCCGGACGATGCCATGGTGTCCCGGCTACACGAGACGTCTTTCCAACGACCTGGGACAGCACCCATAGAGGGTCACTTAGCAGTCGCTATGTTTTCGCTACTGAGGTGCCGCGGCGACTAGTGATGGATCCCGGAAGTCAATCGGTGCCGCAGTGTATCGGATCAGCTTGGAATTAGGAGTTGCAGAGGTAGACTCATGAATGACTTGATGGATGGACGGAGAAATACATGGACACATGAGTGCATGGATGGGGAAAGGAAGGAAGGAAGGAAGGAAAGAAGGAAGGAGGGAAGTGTGGACGGACTGTGAAGGAAGGCAGGAAAAAGAAGTAATTGATTAATGACTGCACGTATGTTTGCCTGCAGGTCTGCCTGCATGTCCGTCTACCTGGAGCGTGTTTTTGTTTGTTTGTGTATGCGCGCATGTATGTATGTATGTATGTATGCATGCATGCATGCATGCATGTATGTAATGTATGTATGCATGCAATTATGTATGATTATGTACGCAATTGTACGCATCTCTGTATGTATGTGTGTATGTATGTATGTATGTATGTATGTATGTATGTATGTATGTACGTACGTGTGTATGTGTGTGAATGAGTGGTAGCCTTCTAGAGTTCTGGAGTTCTCGCCTGACCCGGTCGAGT